TGCATAATCTGATCAAGGGTTTTTCTAGACCTTTCACATCAGTTTTATTTTCTTCTTTTGACATGGTCGCTTAGAAAATGTGATTTTAAGGGGTTTTCTTCTTCGTGCTTTTCTAGAAAAACTCGTTTAAGGGTCCGTTTTTCGCCTTAGTTCCGAGAAAAAAATCAAATGTTGCCTGCTGTAAAAACACTATTCCTGCCCAGATTTCTTACCCAGAAAATAAGTTGATTTTTTTGAAACTTTGAGGCTTCATATCTTTATCATCCGGACTCCAAATCAAGTGATTTTTTAGTCTAAGTTTATTGGTTTTTGCTGGTCTATATAACGGTATGCACGGTTGTATCAAATTATATCTGAAAAGACCATTTTACCCCTTATAAAGTACCCTTGCCGCACTGATTTTAAACCCAAAAGTTGATTTTTATGAAACTTTGACATTTCATATCTTCTTCGTTCGGACTCCGAATCAAGTGATTCTTGAGTCTAGATTCATTAATTTTTCCTGATCTATCTAACGGTATGCTCAGTTGCATCCAGTTTTATCTGAAAAGGCCATTTTACCCCTTGCGAAGTACCCTTGCTGCATTAATTTCAAACCCAAAAATGTGATTTTTATGAAACTTTGGAGTTTCATATCTTCTTCATCCGGACTCTGAATCAAATGATTCTTGGGTCTAATTTGATTAAATTTTTGCTGTCTTTGTAGTGGTGTGCTCGTAGCAACCAATTTTATATTTTTAAAAATGACCATTTTGCCCTTTGGGGCCTGTTCGGTCATCATTCGTTCCCGCATCAGTTCTCATTGAATTCCACGACCTCATGGAAGGTCACTTTGACTTCTTAGAGTCTTATTTTCTATTTTCCCTTCCGCATTCGGATCCGTTATCGGGTCAATATTCGGTTCATCACAAGACGCACTGGCTTGAAAAACTAGGGCCGTCACATGCATGAAGGATGTGATTTATGCTAGAAATGATCTAAGGTAGCTTAGGATGCTCCCTGAGTCTCACCTTTGACATAAACGTTAGGTGGCATGATCTTTTTGTATTGTTCAAGTTAATTTAAAAATCTTTAAAGAAATCAAGTCTATGCATGCTCATTCTCTACGAGTAAACTTGTTTACTCACCCCGAAGTTACTGGGGGTTCAAGTATGAAGACTTGGTTCGTGATGTTCATCATTGCTTGGATGATTGTGGACTTGAAGGTTTTAATTTTTGTAAAGGGTTGGCTTGAAACTCCACTTGTAGCCTTATTTGTCAAAATGTGTATTTTTGATTCCATATATGTAATGTGTATATGAGTGCACTCTTTATAATGTACTTGACATGTATGAGATGAGGCCGAAGGCCAATGACATATATTTTGTATCCTATGTAATTTTTGACTTCATGAAATATTATGAAAATATTGAAAAATGTCAAATTATTGTTTCACCATGGTTGCATTGGGTGTAGGAATTCCATCTTTATTCTTTCATAGGGTCTCATTAATCATGTATGAAGTGTGGCCAATCACTATTTACGTTTGCGTGCATATTCGTTTCAACCTATGAATGCATTTGGGGTCAAATGCATACTTGGTGCAAAGTTGCATTTTCGCCATTTTGAGCCTAATCTATTTTAGGGGCATTCTAGACATTTCAAAGTAGTTTTTTTTTGTTTCTATCTGCATTTCCCGGTAGAAAACATGATTTTTTTGGAGGGGGGGGGGGGGGGGTTGTTCTTCTTTGTGTTTTTTTAAAAAGGTCCATAAAATCCTCAAAATCACATTTCAAACTTAAAAGGCTGCTAAGCTTGTCTGCAGGATAAGCGCTCGTCCATGGGGTATGAGTGCTCGTAAGTAGGGAAGTGGGTTTTAGCCCTGGGCGTACTCATCTACAAGCACTCGTAGCCCTTACACGAGCGCTCATCCGTATTGTTCATGTGTGTGCGTGTGTGTGTGTGTGTGTGTCTTGGTTCAGCACTGCACCTCTAACTTCAAGTTAATGTATCTCCATTGTTTTAACTCCAAATTGATCTGTTCTTAAGTCTAAATTAACCGTGTCGAAATAAGATTTCCAGTGGTACTAATTAGAGCTTCAGATTCCATTTGTACCTCAAGATATTCAAGTTTTAGTAAGGTAGTGTCAGAATTTGGTTTGAACCGCGTAGGGTTTCCCTTCCTTTGACTTCAAGACTTGATATCTTTGTCGTCCGGACTCCGAATCAAGTGATTCTTGAGTCCATCTTTGTTAATTTTTCATTTTCCATCTAATGGTGTACTTAGGGGTACCCATTTCAGTTTGGAATTACCAATTTACCTTTTTAGCCTTAAGGTCTCGTTTTTCTTCATCTTACCGTTTCTCCTTCGTCCGGACTCCGAATCATGCGATTCTTGAGTCCATCTTGATTAGTTTTTCATTCTTTTTCCAGTGGTATACTCGGTGGCACCTGAATCAATATTTCTTAAAATGACTATTTTGCCCCTAGGGGCTTAATTGTTATTTTTCTGATCTCTTGCTTCCGCACTTTATTCCTTTGGGTTCCATAACCTCATGGAAAGTTATCTTAGGGTCTTAGAGGTGTGTTGTGCCTTAGAAGACCGTTGTCTTGTCTTTGCTTCCACATTCTGGATCCGCTTCGGGTCATCACAGGACACACTGGGTTGAAAAATCTAGGGTCGTCACATTAGCCACAGCTGTAGTGGAGAGTCGAGCACGAGTATGACAAAAGTCAATGGTATGCCTTAGAAGCCGGCGAAAAATACAGTAAAGAGATGAACGGTCTTTTTTGTTATTGGATTGCTAAGAGCCAAATCAATTGTTATTGTTGCGTCCATTGGAGCCAGATTGATTGTTATTGATGTGTTGTGTCCATTAGAGCTAGACTGATTGTTATTGTTGCATCCATTTTATCGAAAAAATGAGGCGGGGCGATCTGGTCCTGACTGAGATGGCACTGACTGAGGAGTAGAAGATGGTGTGGCTAAAATAGTGAGATGATTCTAGGAACGATGAGTCTGTAAGTGTGTCTCTTCTCGAACAAGTTTATTGAGAGCTTGATAAAGTGATGGAAGAGGTGAGCGATGGAGAAGCTGACTGCGTACTGGTTTAAAATCATCATGAAGACTCGTCAGAAACTAATAAAGTCGAATCTGGTTGCGATACTCGAGAAATTTCTTTGCTTTAGAATAATGTTCCCATGATGGTTCGGAAAGAGCTAATTAATCCCATAAGCATTTCATTTGAGAGAAAAATTCATTAATTTGCTGACCTGATTTTTGTTTAAGAGTAGAAAGTTGACCATCAATTGAAATTAGCGAGCCCCATCAGAACCATAGTAGCAAGAGGCAAGCATGTTCTAGACTTCCTTGGCTGTTTTGTAACTCCCCTATTCCAAACCAATAGAAGAATTGGATGTGTTGCGTAACCAAGTGATGATCTTATGATTGCTACTGTCCCAATCTTCAACATGTGTTGCATAGGCATCTGATGTCTTTTCTTTGGCATGAGTAGGTTCTGTACGATCTCCAGTGACATAGGACCATAGCTTGCGACCTTTCAGAAAGTTGCGCATAGATTGACTCAAAAAGGAGTAATTGTCACTATTAAAATAACTAAAATAGGGTGAGTTACCTCGTTTTGGGCCATTTAGAAATCCCGAATGCAAAAACAGACTTCAAATTGGGAATTAGTACGAAAAATTGGGTTGAATTGGTGTTTTAAGGAAAAAATTCTAACATTGCTAACGTGGCAAAAATCCTGACATGGCGCTGATGACGTGGCAGTGATGTGGCAATTGCTGATGTAGCAGAATGACATGGAAAAAGTTTGCAGAACCTTCTAGCTGCGCTTGAGGGCACGTGCGTGGTGTTTTTTTGGTGGCGTCGAGATGATTTGAGTGTGAACTTTCGCCTGGTATGCTTAGAATTGTGAAAGGACTTGCTGAAGCTCAAATTCGAACCCCTAATAGAATGTATGCTTGATGAACTTATTAGAAGCCATCAGAAAAAAAATAAAAAATTTTAAAAAGAAGAAGACAGAGAACTTGGCTCTGATACCATGTTAAATATAAAAAAGAGAGTATAGAATTGTATATATTGTGTTGATGTATGAAATATGAAGATACATAGGGATTTATATAGGTGACGAGTTGTGTGGAAAGTAACAAACCCATATCATATATGGTAAATCTAAATATGGTTATAATATATTCTACAATATAAAATAAAAAAATAAAATAAAATAAAATAAAATAAATCCATATCAACTTCTGTAGATCTCTTTCCCTAAATTTCTCCCTTAAAATCTATGTATATTTCAACCTAAATAAAAGAGATTCCTAAAATTTATCAAGATCCACCTAGAAAGCGATCAGGTTTTGTGATAGATTCGTGTAAATTCCATTTGCTTGGAAACTCTGAGAAAATTTTGCTTCCATGCAAGTACTATCTAATGAATGGTGGGCAAAGACAATAAATTGGATGCATGCATACTCAAAAACAATTCTGGTCAAACTTTCTTTGTTTGCTTTTTTATTGTTTTTCATTCTCCAATAATCAATTCAGTATTGTTATTATCATAGTCAAAGAAAATAGAATTGACTGGATTTTGAATAGAGAGAGGAAAGAGATAATTTTAGAGTGAGAAATAAAGCCATTAAGAAACTTATATTTGTAGTTAATTCAGTGTCCGGAGGTCTATGGTACGGAGGTTTTCTTAATGTCAGAGTAACATCTAATTATTTGATTACCAATTGATGGGCTGCTCTATTGGGCTTAAGTACATCTTAGGACTGGTTTGGGCTTTCGTCTGATTTGGATAGAAACATACTGTTTAGTTATATGCAATGTTTTGTTCATCGTTGGGCCCAAGTGGCCTAAATTCATGAGGGACAGAGAACAAGCATGTGTAGCTTATGAGTAGAGACATTGACTTACATTTGAATCTCATGAATTAAGCATACAAGCAATGCATGGAGCGTAAAATCTAAATACATAAGGCCTAAATTTATTAGTAACCCTAAAAATCTCTTGGATCAACAAAAACATTCCCCACAGGTCTCATGGCCATCAAGTTATCCTCTTCCTCATCACTGGCTTGTTGATCATTTGCTCTCTTCAGATACCAGAGATCATTGATGCATGACATGGAGGATCCTTGAGGGACATGCTCTCTAAGAGGATCGGAGTCAGCGAGCTCGGTCACTATTGCCTTGCAATCTTTCTTATTTTGATCAGCCAATCTTGATGCAAAGCTCCACAGTGAATTCATTAGCTCCTCAAGTCTCTCTCCTTCCCCAAGAAGCCCATAGAGGAAGAAAAACCCAAAAGTTTCCTGAAGTGAGTGATAATTTACTTGCATTTTAAGGCAAGGGAAGATTACATCTCTTGCATGGCTTAAAGTTGCATGAAAAAAATTAAATGGATGGGACTTTCTTACTTGAAGCTTGTATGTCTCACTGGTGTTCCAAATGCTTGTCACGACCCAAGAGCTTGGAGTTCTAGAATTGATCATGTCCTCGTCATGCAAACCATCCCAATCATCTTCTTTGTAGTACGATAGCCATGTGCCAAGGCTCAAATTTTCCTTCAAGATCTCATCAATGTCAACAGGATACATGTCTTTGCCCCTCAGATGATTGTTGTAAAACAAAATCGCCTGATCTATCGACAACTTTTCAAGAGTAATATGAGATGGAGGATCTTTTGGTGGTGAATTAACTGGTTGAACATATATGCGTAATGAGCTGAGCTTTACATAATTGCATTTAACACTGAAGAGATTCGTAGAGGCGACGTTCTTCTCCTCAGTGGCTAGGGAAGTGTATTGTGCACCATTTCTCATCAACCATTCTTCAATTGATTCCACAAGTTTTAATCCAATTCCCTTCCTCCTATATATGTCAGATGAAGCAAACATATCATGTATAATACAAATTCGACAATGGATATTAATAATGATAAATTAATAGTAAAATCAGCTTGTGAACTATCCCTCAAAAAGTAAATATTAGAAGTGTAAAGAAAGGCTAATTTGCCAAAAAAAAAAAAAGAGGACAATTTCATATGCTATGACAAAATTAACTAATAAACTAGCTAATTTCATTTAATTTAAATTTTATGATGTTTCCAGACCCCACTAAATATTAATGCATGAATTAATCTAAGACTTACTATCAAATTATAATTTATGAGTTTCTGGTTTAATAAGAAATTTAAGTTAGTCTAGATATATCCTGTACTTTGTCATGTATCCAAGTGAAAAGAAAATTAGAAATCTCACAATAATGAAAAATTTCACAATTACTTTTTATTTGCTACTGAATTTATCACTGCAACAATTATGTTTTGAGTTGTTAGGATAAAATTTGTGTCACTTTGTCAATTGGTTGCTTCTACATGGAATAAAGCTAGCTATTAATTTGACATTGAGCGAGAGAGAGAGAGAGAGCCCTACCGGTGCCTAGGAGAGACTCGGAGGCCCAATATGCAACCCAAATTCACATGTCTTCCCACAGATCCAGTGCCCACATATTTGATGCATCCTCGAACCATTCCGACAAGCTTCCTGTTTTTGAGCAACTCAGCAACCTGTAGGCCATTTTCAAGCATATTAATGTCTTAAATTTGCATGTATTTGGGGGACAAGAGTTTCCTTTTAAGAAAGTAGTATGGAGAAGCACTAAGACATTATATATAGAAGTGTCTGCAGCTAAACTAGCTAGAGTAAAAATATATAAAATAAAAAACCAATGTCTTGGATATGGCAAAATGTTAGCAAAAAGGAACTAACTAATTAATCCATATCTTACACACCAGCATAACATGAACAGGATACAGCTTAACCCTACATAAAGGGTCATCCATCATGTTAGTGAATATAGAGATCCCTTCTTTAGACCCTATTTCACAGTTCTTCTCAAGCTTCATCACTTCTTCAGAGTCTCTTTCTTCATTGAATTCCCTAATTAGAATCTTATCCCCCAACTTGTCATCCATTTTTTTCTTTTTCTTTTTTTTTTTTAAATAATAATAAATAAAAAAAACTTTAAAAAATAAACAAGTTGATCACAGTATCTGTGGTTGGGGAATGAGATTTCAATGACTGAAAACCTTTCTAAACTAGGCCATCATCCACACCTACTGCCAATCATGTTCTTATATAAATAAGAATATAAAATTCCTTTTTCATTTCTATTATTAATTTATATATATATATATTTGCTACTTCAATCATACCACACCATCAAGCTAGACAAGAACCCTGCGGCACCTGATGATTATACTACTACTACAGTCAAGTTTTTCCAACTATAAGTTTCTGTACCAATTGAAAACGACAATATTCTTCAGACTGTTTTGTACCACTTCAGACAATAGTGGTAAATTATTTACGTGTGGAGCACCACAAATATGGAATAGTGATGATGTTACAAAGTGATTCCATAAATTTTCAGTCAACAAGGATTCACCAAAATTCTCTCCAGTGCATTAAGAGACGGTAGGGATTTTCCATAGCAGGCTGCACACCACTAGTGGGGTGGATCCCACTATTCCAGTGCACTGGTTAAGACATTCTTTATTATTTTTTGTTTTGCTTTTTTTGTTGAGTTCCTCAATATGAAAGATTCATTATTTACTCATTAAAATATTATTTTGGGAAAACAATTCATATCCTTTGTGCTTTTGCATCTTATAAGAAACAAACCTAAAACGTACCAGTTTACCGTTACTCATGTTGTCACGTCTCTTAGAGACTGTGCAAGATGAATGACCTTGAAACCTCTTGATAATCAAGGACTCAATAATACACGTTGGAATTGTCTTCTTGTTGTCCCTACTTTTTCTTACTATAGCCATTTTAATTGCACAAGTTTCTTATGTTCTACTCTTTTCTTTTTTTTTTCCTAGTTGATATTCACATACATTGTCTCTTCTAAGACTTGAAATCCTGACCTCTCTTTGGGAGGTAAGAAGTTAATACTAATGGCCGTTGATATGTTGTTCTACTTTATAATCAGAAGTAAATTGATGCACGCATTTAAGGGCATGCTTGGACCATCTTTAGAGTTTGAATGGCCCCATTCACTGTAAACCTATATCAAATTTTAATTTAGAAGTTCATCATTTTGAATGGAACCACATGGGCGAACAGGGGAGAGTACTTCACCAAATTCCTTCCCGAACAGTCATTTTCAGGAACATCATTTTGAAATGATTACTGTTTTCCAAATTCACCCACTTAAAGAAAATGAATTTCCATCTAAAAAGTGAATATCAGGCAGTTCTGAAGGACATCCAAACATGGCCTAATCATTGAATTAATGGAAACTAAGAAAGCCAGGACCTGAGCAAATGGTCTCTCACATTATTAACATTTTTGTTGTTTCCACATTTATCCTCTAGACTCGCCCTCATTGCTACTGTGGCGAGTTAGTCACCACTGGTTTTCACACCTTAGTGTCGGCAAAGACTGGAGCAACAGTGCTACGGATTAAATCTTTTTAGATGTTTATTTTCTGATATCAATTTCATTCTTGATGTGACGAACAGCTAAGTCCAAGTTTTAGAGACCATGCATGAAGTGGTTTGCCAGACATGGTGTTGTGTGTGTTTGTGTGTATAAATTTATATTATATATATTAGTCATTCAGGTTCATTAGGTTTTGCTGATTTGTCTAGTCTCAATTCAGATCCCAGCTGTTACTTGGAAAGCAGTCTTTCAATTTATGATTGTTTCTGTCCCTTGCTGCAAATATTCACATGAAGTGTCTTTCAAGGTGTTACTGTCTTATTAACAATTTTTTTTAGATTAGGATGCAAAGTGGGCACAAGAGTTAGGAGAGAAATATATAAGAATATATTCACACACACATCCACACAGACCCTCAACTATTTGAAATTGTCCAAAGAAATCACTCTTTGTGATTATTAATTGGCATGAACAGCTAAAGCTGGTTCATTGGTGAAAAGTTCATACTATCAAATATTTGAGTTTGAACACTTATAGCTAGTGTCAAAAGTTGGGTCTTCATCACTCCCAACACTCACATCACTGGTAATATATAAGTAACCATGATCAAGCAATGTTTGTAAGAAGATGTATATAGAAACAAGTGTAATAATTAATCTCTTATTATTGTTAACTTGTGAATTAAAATTGTAAGATCTGGTGTTCAAGATGGGAATGAATGAATGCAAGTTATATTACCTCTATGGGCTTTATCTGTGGCAAGAAACATGAGCCTGCAGAGTCCTTGGTACAACCACATGGAGTCTGGAGGATAAAAGATGAAGAAAGGAGACAAGGACAAGAGCAGAAAAAGTATGGAGGGCAGAAAAGCTAGGGCTTTTATTTCAGTACTCTTAGCTTAATAATGAGAAGATTGCATCGCACTATAAGGAGCAACACACTCGTGACTTCTCTCTCATGGTATCAATAATATCATCCTATTGCCATGTCAAATTCTAGACATAACACAACCCTTCAGTGCTTGAGAAGAAAGAGATTGGGGGATGAAAACTGATGGGTTGAATTTCCAAAGAGTTTGTAATGCTTAGAGACATAACAGGCCCAAGGGAGCAAGCCTGTATGGGACCCAAGTTTGTAGCCATTACAACCAAGCCCAAATGGCCAATTCAATGCTTGCTTTTGGTAAATAAATAAAATTTCTAATTCAAAAAGGAGTTAGTTATTACAATGGCTCCTATTTATTTATTATTATTTTTTTTTTCAGGCAAAGAATTGTCACAATATTTTTGGGAGACTCAAACCCTATACCATTCCATTTTGATAAGAGACAATATACCACTAGGCCACATGTAAGGGTGTTGAATTGGTCAGGCAACGGATTTGGAAACTGATGTAGTGCAAATTAACATGGCAGCCATGTCAACAAATTATGGAGGCTGAGGTGGCGGTGGTTCAACGGGAAGATCAACGGTTATCTTGGAAGTGGCTTGGAATAGAAGACTTTTTTTCCTAACTACTTATATTTATATATATTTCTTAGTATTTTGTGTTCAGTAAGTTGTGCTTAATTTATTAGTCAACCTTGAGTCTTGTGTTGAAAGTTGGAAATTAAAGTCTCTTTAATGTAATGTTGAAGATGAAGACTTATATTTATAGGTGTCGATGCAAAGGAGAAAGTAGACTATGAATATTATGTTTTGATAATGATATTGTTCGGCTCGCGAGAAAGCGCTGGTTCCGCTCTCCGGATAGCGTGGAATGATGGATGGTGGAATAGAATAGTGTGGGTATGCGGGCATGCCAAGAACTGTAGTAGTTCCAAAGTAGAAATCCGAGCAGTAATCCTATTGGAAATTTGTAGGGATCAGGCGATTGTACGAAGGTCTGTAATGACCACCTTCGAAGGGTCTTTTTTGCCTTTGAACAAGGACTTTAAACTATTCTATGGCTAATGAAAAAGAAGGCAATATTGAAGGTGCAAGGCTGAAAATTAAAGTAATTGAAGTGCAGGACTGAAAATTTAGAGACATGGAAATGCAGTGCTCAGCTAGAAGAAACGGAAAGAGTGTTGGACTTAACTCAAGCGCTATGAGAATTCATCAATGGAATGAATGCTATACAAAATAGCAAAGTGATGGACTCAACTTAAAATGATGTACATTCATTGCTGGAATGGAAATACATGTACTAGAAAAGTGCTAGGTTTAAACATAGTGCAAACTCATTGTTGAAATGAGAGATACATAAAAGCAAAGATTCTTGTGTTTATAAAGCTTTGAGCTGTGTTGCGTGCATTGAGCAAGCCTTTCAAACTAGCCTTAAGTGTTTTATTTATAGAACTTTCCATGTATGACGCAGCTTGATGTGGTAACTCTAGTGATTTCCATATGGCCAGATTTCGGACTGCCAAGTGCCCTATGTTCTCTTGGCAGTTGTAACTTCTTTTCTTCTATCTTCTTCTTGCTCTTTATTTCCTCTGATGCACAACTTTAGCCATGTTCTCCATAGTCTTCCATGAACTTGTATCGTGGGTGGTTTTTGGAATGAATCTTTCACTTGACTTCTTCATACGTCCCACGTCTTTATGTTCTTCTTCCGTCTTTCGCAAATTCCTCCTCCAATTTAGACACGATTTAATCGTCTTAGCCCCATCATCCATAATTTACGACAATCGTTTTCAGTTAGTGGTAGTAGTTGCATGAAACACCACCACTTTCAACTGATGCATTCATGATGAGTCAAGTATCCCATGTTCCTTTGTGGTCTTTCCTTCTGTAGAGTCCTTCCTTCTATATAATTTATATATATATCATCCATGTATATAGAAATTATACATACCTCCACGTTCCCTTGGCTTTAGGCAACCTCTTATAGTTGGACTTTCTTCCTTTCATGGCATCATGTCCTCCAAAATTACAGCAGCTTCTTCTCATTGTGGGTGTGCATATGATATAACACACATATATATGTATCAATATATATACATCCATGATATAAATCATCGCCCATGCTTCTTTTCCTTTGCGACCCACACTTCCTTGACTTTAGTAACTTCTCTTAACCAAACTCCCTTTATGGTCTTAGACTCCACGACGCCATGAACTCCTAAATTTCAACGCCCTTCTCATCGTGGATTGGCATCCTCAATTCCTATAACTTCCTTTCTTGAGACTTTCCTCCCAGGTTTAAAGTTTATGGCGTCGTGGCTTCCTTCAGAATTTCAGCAACTCCTTTATCCATCGTGGGTTATATATATATATTACATTTCTGGAAACAAACACTCCACTTCCTTTTAAATAACCTCATTGCTTGATTTAGTCAGAAGTAGTTGTTGAAACCCCCTAGATTTTAGGAGAAAATCCAGCCCCACGTCTTGCTTAGTCAACCTTGATTTCGTAATTAAATGGAAAAATATCCATTTAATTAGTATCCTATAAAAAATAGGATTTTCCATGAATCCTCAATAAAATCAACTCTTAGAAGAATTTATCTACCGTGGCAAGTTTAGTAGAACTCGCCATGTGTT